TTCGAGTAGGTCATCCCAGTTATGGTTCGAGGGAGAGCGATAAAGGCAGCAAATAAATTTGGGTGATGTTTTGGAGTTGAGGCGAAGCCACAGAATGTCCTTCCGGTCTGATTCCAAAGAAAGATCCCTGGAGCAGGAAAGACTGCTGCGGACAAAAGCCACAACTCCCCCGTTCTTTCTCAGATTGGAGTGCTCCTCGTAGTTTGGGAAGTTGAGATGGTTAATCGGTGCAGCCTCTGAGATTTTTGTCTCCGCCAAGAGAAGCACGGCGGGACGATTGGATTGCAGGTAGTGATGAACAGCATCAATGTTGCTGTTGATCCCGCAGATGTTGGAAAAACAAATTTTATCTTCGATGTTGTTCCCTCGAGCCCACCCTCCTCCCGGACATTCCGAGAGTGGAGTGAGTTTACGTCCGGAGTTTTTAGTGCTCGAGGGATCCATCATCATTAATTTCTTTGTTTTGGTAGATAACCGACTGCATAGCTTAGGTGTGGAAACATGCGGACATTTATAAGACACCCTGGGAAAAGCTAGCGGGTGGTACTGCCTCGGTCGACTGGTCCTTGTCTACCACCTTCTTTTTATGTATTAGTGATGTTAAATAGACCTAAAGTGGCCCGTTGGCGGACTTGTACCGCCACCCGGCAATCGGTACTGAGGTATTCCTTAACGCGTGCGCAATCACTTGGACGGGAAGAAGTTGTATACTGGATACAACGACTTCCGGAACAAGCATTTGCCACGGCCCTCGCTCAGTAGGGTCTACTCAAAGAATTTCATTTTGAGTATAGAAACCGTAACAGAAATAGTATGGGCTAACTCTATAATTAAATCAGCAAGACAAGCCTTCTTAGATCGACCAACCACTGGCCTAAAGAATCCGTCAGGTACGTTTATCTAACCAATTCGTCATTTGTGTCGTAAAAATGATGTCAGGTAGACTGAATCTATAAGCCGGTGCTGAAAGCTTAGCTACGCTAAACTTAGCTATATCTAGTAGATTTGGAACCAACACCTGTTAGATACCCTGCTTGCATTATTATTAGTTTTCTTGAATACTATATGAAATAATTATTAGCAGGAAAACGGAAAACGATTTGTCATCTGGCACATTTGAGTCAAAGAAAACGACCAACTACCATGAAGAAATGGAAGGAAGTTCATTTGAACGATGGTTTGAATAAAGCTTGACGACAATGCCGTCATTGTACTTGATAATGCTGCATACCACATTAGAATACTAGAAAAAAATCCCACGATGTCCACAAGAAAGGCAGATATTCAACAATGGCTCCTATCAAAAGACATTAGTTTCAATGATAATATGGTCAAAGCAAAACTTATTCATCTAGTCAGGCAGCACAAATATAATCTTAGAGTTATTGACGAAATGGCTAATAACCCAAATAAGACCGTATCACTGCGATGTAAATTCCACTGAAATGATTTGGGAAAATATAAAAACTATGTGGCTTCACACAATAGAACATTAAAATTTTTTGACGTTATAAGTGTGTTTTATGAAGCTGTCAACAGACTGACGGCAAACCCGTGGAAGAGATTGCATCCGTCCGTTCAAGAGACATTCGAAATAAAGATGTGGGATCTGGATAATATATGATCTATATTCAAATTGAACCTGTAATAATTAATATTAACCATTCGGACGATGATTCAAGTACTTCCAGCGAATCAATAAAAATAATCATTTATTTTGTTAGATTATTCCAAGACCGTTGAGGAAAATCCGTACCTGTACAATCTTGCTTTTGGGCACGTTGTGGTTTGTCTGGACTAGGAATGGGGTATTGGCACTTACTTATTTGGAAGTTGGTGAATTTCTAGAGGAATTCTCTAGATGTCAATCGACGCTTCTCCACGGCCTTACGCCGGCTCCACACGTTGGCCCCAACGTTGGCCCCAACGCCTCTCGCCCAACGTGTGTATCTAGAAAATAGCGTTGGCCCCAACGTTGGAGCGACCGTTGGTAGTTGGCTGTCGATTGACGGTTTTGTCAAAGGAATCTGCGCCAACGTTGGCAATCCGTCCACATATTGGCTCACTGGCTCAGTCTTGTTGTAACACGCGTCGAGTGCGTATGTGGAGATATGTCATCAACAACATCGCTACCCGCGTGGACAAACGAAAAAGTTGTACAATTTTAATTAAAAAAGAAACCGAAATTGCTCTAAGCGCTTTTACAGTACTGATGAGTGCGTATAATTTATATTTGTTATTGAAAAAAAAGAAAAAGCCACGTCAAAGGAGATGGTGGATGACAACGCATCATAAAACTCGGTACCAGTAAGTACAGACCATACACTCCATTCTAGCAGCTTTTCACAAGGCAATTTAATATTAAATTATCTAATAATGTGTATACAGTGTGTCCAAGATAAGCATGTCTACAATATGCCGTTTAGAAAGCTTTAAAATTCCGAGTTGTTCCGGAGGTATGCCTAAAAAATGCTATTAATACAGGGCATACTTTTTTACGCGCCATATAAAAAATAAAGTTGATGATGGTTTCTCCGAAACGAAACGTCATGCGGAAAGTCTCTCAACGCTGTTTTGTAGAGCTTAAAAAGTAGCCATAAGAAAGTGTCTTTTGTTTTTCCATATCTCTTTAAATAACGTCAGAAAAAAACAAAAACGAAATCGGCAAATTTCGGTTTTTTAGGCATACCTCCGGAACAACTCGGAATTTTAAAACTTTCTAAACGGCATATCGTTAGGCTTGAAATTCAACCATCTTCGTATCACTTTTGTTTTCCAAGATCCTCATGATAGACATTCTTATCTTGGACACACTGTATACACATTATTAGATAATTGAATATTAAATTGCCTTGTAAAAAGCTGCTAGAATGGAGTGTATGGTCTGTAGTTACTGATACTGAGTTTTATGATGCGTTGTCATCCACCATCTCCTGTGACGTGGCTTTTTGTTTTTTTTCAATAACAAATATAAATTATACGCACTCATCAGTACTGTAAAAGCGCTTAGAGCAATTTCGGTTTCGGTGTCGGACATCTTCACATTGGCTCTGACAGAAAGGAACTAGTATAATAACCAACGTCTGGACGCTTCACCAACTTAACCGACCAACGTTGGTACCGACGTTGGGGCTAACGTGTGGAGCCGGCGTTAGAGCTCTCCCGATGCCATCGCGACATTCACGTATTCTGGCTGCAAAGTCTTGATGCACGGCGTAACTCTAGTTGCCTAAGCGTCGAAGTTACGAACGTGCCTCCAGTTACGAGTAGGTACGTTAAAATACTATGCTATACAGGCTGAGTTTTTAGTGTGTTGTCGACCAATAGAACCATTATTTCAAAGGATGTCCTAAGCAGTTAGTGACAAATGGTAAGCAACTTTACTCGTATGGTTCTTACTTGTAAAATATGCCGCTCTCTACAGGGTGATACATAGCGTGATAATACATGCATTTTTAATGCGATTCTCTGTTCATTTTGCTATATTCTGAAAAGCCTTTCCAAAGGAGGAAGCTTGGTATATAGCTGTATATACAGGGTGACTTCGAAGTTGAGTCATTTATTTTAACAGTGAGTAGATCTGATCAAAAGAAATGTTTTTTTCCTTTACCATTTTTCTGGTAAAATTAAAGTAACAAAGTTATAGCCCTTTGGAAGTTTGAGTACCGCCCTGTCTCAATAATAATATCATGTACTCGTGTTTGGCAACAACGGATATAATCCACCTTATCGATTCATCGCATCGGAAACAAAAAAGCGAAAGAATTTGGAACGATGTTTTTATTTCATTCAGTTCAGTTATACATACAGTCAGTGACAGTCGCGTGTGAATGGTGTCTGTTGCGTGGCTCAAACGAAATAAAAAATGGCACATGTTTATGCGGATCGGTTTCCCAATCGAGTGCAACCAACCCCTCGTGCCTTTGTTAATGTAGTACAACGGGCTCGTGAATCAGGTGACTTAAGACCTCACAGGGCACCTCACGATCAAATACAGGTCCGCACTGAAATACTTGTCGGGAGGATACTTTATAAAACAAGGTAAAAAATTTTTTTTATTTTTTTTTTATTTTTACACACATATTTTGGTTTATCTTCCTTCTACAATCATTATCTGAAAATTAATGACTCAACTTCAAAGTCACCCTGTAGTTTTAACGCTATTTCTGGGGCAATCATTTTACTGAAAGAGTAGCAAACCTTTTGTCAAATCTGCATCGTGCAGGTGATTGTAGATCGCAACGTTGTCAAATGAGACGGACTGAATATCAATTGGATGGGATTTTCTTAATTCTTTTGTTGTACGTGTTCGTTCTCAACTTATTTCTGAAAGGTGCTAAATCGAGTCGGACAGCTTTTATGAAGTGACGACAAAGCTACGTGGAAAGCGCAGCGATAGCTTACTTGAGCACCATTTACATTTCGTAATTAACTATAGGTTATGAATTTAATATACGAGTATTATACCACGGTTCACTGCTTTGCCATTATTATTACTTTGCATTTCTGTATACCACCTTTTAATCAGCCCCTGCAATGTTAGAAATGCATTTTCCTCGATCTTGTGCCCATAGGAACCTAAATATCAACTAGTGAGTACTTCATTACCTTGCCTTGCATTTTTTATATGCGAGACTGCAAACGCACCACATAATTTACCGCTCATAAGACCACTGTCTTTTAATTTCACAACCAACACCTGTTTTGCTCTGTCAGCGTCCTCAGGGCAATGTCGTTTTTACCGTTTTCCAATTTCATCAGACTCTATTTCAATAATCTAGTATGGTGTTTCCAAACATTGCATATTTTCAACGTTTATCTATAATTTTCCACAACAAATTTACACATCTGAAAAGGAACAACCTTGAAAGTGCACCTACCTTTCCTTTTACATAACTTCCTAACGTAACATGTTAGGTCGTTACTAAATCTAGTCCAGCAGCCTAAGGCCGAAAAGGCGGCCCAAAAGAAAAAGGAATCTTGGTAACAGTTTATTGCAGGTGCTAAGCTGGCTCTAAACAGATTACAAGATGGGCCCCGGCTTCTGACGTATAATTACGAACAGGTATATAACAACATATCAATCAACTGCTAATTATAGGTTCCATGCATAGTTTGTATACGTTGGCTGGTATATTTTGGGTCTGAGAGTATCAAACAACCTCTTTTTGTGAAGGAAAATACCGTAGATTTTCGTAGATTAATAGATTTCTTATTGACGATGTGCTGCCTGGGCCATATGTTTGTAATCTGGAAGGTTATGTTCATTTTAAGTTTTTTTTTTGCAAAAGCAGCTTTCCCGAACCGTTATGGATTCTTTTATTTGTATTAGTTGAAGATAAAGAAACGTTCACTGTAAATTGGCTTGAAGGAATTTGTTGGCTATAGTCGTCTATTTGAATTTATCGCACTAGCTGGTGATCAAAGACAACTACTATGAGTGACGTTGTATTTAGAAAAGGACAACGTGGGAATTTCGGAAAGTATACTTCGAACTCCCATTATTTATACAATTCTTCGGAAAGAATGCTGCAGATTACTTATGAAGCGATTTTGCTTGATATTTATCAAGGCATATCTAAGATGCATAAAGAATGAAATTTTGAAGTATGTCTTCAAATAAATGTCTGGAAATAAAAAAAGTGAGTACTTCAGAATGCAGGATAAGTTTTTGGAAAGGTGCTTACAGGTATTTAACTGGATCAAAAACTCTTCCTTTTACATCTTGAGCAACTACCGAAAATTATAATTTTGGGAGATTAATTTGAAAAAAATGTTCAACAGCCTTGGTATCGCTGTGAGCTCATAAAAAGAAAACCATATTTTGTCGATTACCGTTAGTAATAAATAACGATTACGCAAATTTAAATACCACGCCGCCACGTTCATTCAAAAGCACTTCCAAAACTTTTCAAAAATGAAGATACTGCACTGTTGGTGGAGAGGACGCTGATGCCTCTTGGAGAATTTGAGTTTGGCAATGGCCAGGATATTACTTTGATAAGACTAGATAACCTCCATTAACCAATTTGTATTTTGAAATGCGAATATTAAGTCAATTCATTTCGTCTAATCAGTACTGAGTACTAACACGATTATTTTCTGCAGACTTGCACTAAGGAAGCATCATGTATAAAAATACTACAATGATAAACTAAAATTCCATGAATGGGGTCTACTAAATGTTAAACCATAACAGATATGGTGTCTGCTTCGAGAACGAACCATATATGTATTACACATTTTATTATTAAAATGATGATGTAATATCTGACTGATGGCGCAAACCAGTTCATTTATTAAAACTCTACTCACTCGAGTAGTGTATCTTAGTATAAGTATACAGGGCTCGACATCGAAACCGAAGCAGGTCAGATGATAGCTGCGTTAGTTTGAGTAAACGGAACTCTAGTACCGTTACTTTCCTGCAAGCAATTCCAATCGAAGTCTTTTATTCGAGTTTTGTTTGATTGAAAGTTGAAACTATCTTTTCTTCGAAAGATTGAATACCAATACTATCATTGTAACAGCTTAGTTGTATGAGGATACTATACTGAAGAGTACACCTTTCTATTACATCCAGAAAATGCATGCATTCTCAGACTCATTTGATAAAGCTGTTTTCTACTGGTCATTCTACTCTCTCGCTTTCAAGAGTTGCACTGCGGATTTATTGGTGGATTTGATACCAGAATGCAGCTAAAACACCATTTGCATCACACATGTACCTTTTCAAATTTTTCATTAGCCACAAATATATAGCATTTTAATCAAAACACACCACAGTGGCTTGCCAGTGATCCATGTTACGCTTCCAAAAGTGTATCTAATCTTATCACGCCAGTGAATGCGATAATATAAATATTTCTGGCGCCTTTGGTAATAAATCATACCTCAAAATTTTCCTAAAACTAATAATTACAACGATAAAGTTTCAATTACATTCATAGAATTTATATTTTCCGGGTCAGCTGTTTGTCAAAGCTAGCTTGTATAGATTATGATATTCCTTCCATAATTAATTTTTGTTCAGTAGATGCTTTTGTTGCACGAAACCTGTTTTGCCAGTCCCACTTCCGGTTTTTCTGGAGCTATATGGAGCACTGAAAATGGAAATAGTTGGCAAACGCTTGTAGCGTGCTGATTTTTATCCCTAATAAGCAGACTGTTTTCAAGATATTTTTAAATCGCTTTATTATTTATTAAATTTGTTAGACGATGTTAGAACAATAAATGTGAAAACAACAAACCCGCGTTGGAAGATTTCTAAGTTCCACCCTGTATCATTTTATTTTATTACAAAGGAAGTTCATAAACAATTCAATATGGGGAACAATACCAGGATGATAAAAAAGCTACTCACTTAATGACCAAACCACAAGTTAAATCCTCCTTTGGCGGTCAATAGGGCCGATGTGACCGGATTGTTGAGCCCAACACCTATTTTTGGAAAAATGTTTTGAGTACCTACCATACTCAACCGACTAATGACATGAATAACTCTACTATCTTAGGGTTACGTTATTGATCCACAGTGGCACCAAATTGTTGTAACTATTATTTGTTCATGATCTCTCACATACTCGTTCGCAGAGTGTAGGAACTGGGGCACACATATCCCTATAAAACTAGGGCCCTCCTACGAATCAACATACGGACTTAACTTAGAATTCAAGCACGAATCCTAGATATGCTGAGTATAACGGTTATTACGAAAAGTAGTCCAGGAACCAGTATATCACGTTGCCAATACACAAAAGCCTCGATGTTAGGACTAATCCAGACTCGACTCCAGTTGCCAAGCGAGGAAGTTAAGCGGTTATACACGCTTGGAATGTCAGGTTGGCCACAAGCCGTCGCGACAATATCAAAAGCGCTCGGACATTTTCCCTGGCACAGGAAACCGAGCTCAGCATAACCACGTGAACTTGGCAACCCGGCTCTAAATTTCACAACTAGCTCTGGAAACTGGAGACATCACATCTTTATGAGCCATTTAATTACCAGCAATCATTAAGCCCGAAAGTCATTCATAGAAACATAGGTACATGACCAAATCATCTTTATAAACATGTCACACGACATTTATGATAACGATATAAAAGTATTATGGTAAGAAATCCATGCAGTACAGGGTAATAGTGATTGTGCACATTTCAGGTAATCAAAACAGGTGTCTTCACAGAACAGAACTAAATAACCTTCAGAAAAATCAGAAAATAATCAACCATAGGCTATAATGGCTACAGAAATGTGCCTACTGTTCGTGCTCAGTTAGACTCTTTCGGAATTTCTTGAATAACCTCATATCTAGTTGGATTATTCTAGGTTACCTTGGACTGCCTAGACCTGGTTAGATTGCCTCGGGTCCCCGTAGATTGTCTACGATCTCCTCTCCCTGAACTGCCTCAGATTTGTTTCCACTGCGATTGAAGATCTCCGACGATTTTTTCGGATCTTCTTTACTTAGCCTCAAATTGCGTAGTGGAATTACCACATACAATAATATAATAATGAAAATAATAATAAAAAGCCGTTATTTTTACCTGGCGGGCAATCGGCAAATGCTGTTCTCCCATAAGAAATAGGTCTGCATGAATACCATGTTCAGAAAAAAGTATATATTTTATCACAGAACTAGAAAACAAGGAAAGAGCACCTAGCATAAAGTAAAATAAAAAGTAGTCAAATTAGTGTAAGCGCATCGAATAAATAATTAGTACATGTCTCAAGTCAAAAAATACGACTCACAAACAAAACACTTACATAGTCACGGTCAAAGAATCTAATATAGTTTTAAATAATTGACGGCAGGTTTGAAAGCACTGGGGGTCTTGATTTTAAGAGATGGATGAATCCTGTTATATAAACTTGATGCTAGATACAAAAAGGAGCTGTTAAAAGCTGTTGTTTTGTGATTGGGGACGTCCAAAGTGTGACCCCACAAATCTCAAATCAATATCATGGGTGTCAGTTCTCAAAGATAGCTTTTCATGCAAGTAAGCTGGTTGTTTCCTCAATAATACCGAGAATATACCTTATGCAGTTTTGCGCCTTTTATATTCGTTGGGCGTCCGTTTGGCTCAACAGAGTCAGCATATTCAAACTTGCTCGGTATAAGGGTTATTTTGATTTTGATATACCATGATTATGAAACCAGATAGCAATATTGTTGAGATCATGGTAATCATCTGCATAAAAATGTGATGATACGTGATCAACTGTGGTAGCTAAGTCTAACAAATATAAACTAAACAAAAATTGGTGCAAGAATGGACCCTTGTGGTATTCCTTTCGGTCATTTAAAACTAAATCGCCCACCTTCACTCTTAAGGCTTTGAAAGGTAGCTGATACATCGTAAGATGTAAACAATCAACCTTGACAATTTAAAATCTGTGCATCCTCAAGGTTATCTAGAATCTGCTGTATGAGATGTATTTCTACTTAACATATTTTGATGATCTATACATTCTTCCGTCTGTAATTGAAGTGCAATAACACGGCCTCCGTTGGTACGTTGAGAGCCTCAAAAAAGGGCATCTGCAACTAATTCCCAAAACCACTTCTGCCTGGCTCCTAAAGCACGTTACATAAAAGAGAGCAAAGTGACAAACGTTCCAAATAAAAATACATCGCCCGGTTGCTTGCGCGACACATAAAATAAACCTTGCCAGAGATTCCCTTATAAAGGTCATAACTTATAATTTCGAAACAGTAAAACTGACAGAGCAGTTGTATTGTTTGCGAAATGATGGCCCCTTTTAAATCCGCAGGATCAAGCGGGATCGGGAGCGAGCAAGTGGAGGATTCTCGGTAGTAGAAGGGAGACGGACGTAAATCATTTAGTGGTTGACGTAGCCTTCTACCCTTGAGTCTATCTGATGTTGATTTTTGATTTTCAACTTAACATCAGATCAGCTTGCAAGTTCGTTAAGTACCTGTTCTCGTCCATAAACAATATTTAACATATGAGATGAGTGTCTCTTTCTGATGTTATTTTTCCACAATGTTATGATATCCTCGCACGACGCAATTTGCGTACACAAATCAATTCTGAGATAGCGACACATACTCGGAGATTTGTAGGTGCAACGCACGGGTTTCGCTGAGACTGACTTTAACTCCAGCAAAGAGTGTTTCTGTTACAGATTGATTAACCCGTCTCCAGTTTGATAACTCGGATTCCTACCCTGACGAATAAAAAACTGGTGGTACCACCGGTTGTCCGCACGCAGATACCAACTTATTTTGAATGAAAGATCCTGTATACGTATCATCAAATCTTTGAGATCTATGTATGATTCTAAACATATCTCATGTATAACATTCTACACGTAACTTTCACCGTTTTTGAGATGTATTCTTATAGAGGAAAGTGATCTTTAGACTTCATTTGATATTATAATAACACAATCTTAACACATTTTGATAACACATTATTATCGATTCACCGTGCTATAGCCAACCATGCTGTAGGGATGATAGAAACCGAGAACTTGCAAATATCGAATGAGATCTAATAAACTAGACCTCCTTTCATGTGGAAGCAGTAACCTATCTTTCGACATAGACAAAAATATATAAAAAATTAATAGGCATTTATTTATAGATTCGCATCTGCAACCTTTTTACGCAAAATACATATATCTCAGAAATGGTTAGGGAGAGTACGCGAGCCTTTTAGAACTCAATGAAGAACCTCGGAGAACTTTTCGTCTCCGAGGTTTTATAGTTTAGCAAGAAGTATTGAAGATAGGTCAAATCATAAAAATGTTAAGCTGACAAGTTGATGTTTTACGCTATAAGCTCCAAGTCCATGTGTGTTAGTAAGTCACTTGGTAATGTAATACCGTATACAGTAATAAAGTATACTATATATTGACAGATGACGTTTTACTATGGATTAATGTGTAGGGTAAATGTGGGAGAGATTCCGCAGTGGGACAGACGACGCACACCTAAAGTGTATCTAACGAAGCTACAAAGTAATCGTAAACAGTGGTTGATTCGTGATCAACGCGTGATCGGTAGCCATGGCGCTCTATCGGCCTCTTCCTGATTGGCTTGTAGCGTCGAGCCTCCAGACAAAGTCGCACGGTTGCCACGCTCGGCGAGTTTTCGCCAGAGTGGTTGATCACATTCGCATGGATCCCAAATCAATCTGTTGGTGCAATACGTGCAATAACTGTTGTAAAGGACATTATATAACAATAAATGGCATCACAAAGGTATATTCCAATTTGATCTGCAGCAAATTATGAACGGCATATACGGAGATGCGAAAACAAGCTCAAAAAGGTGAAGAAAATTTTTGTGCAATCTTTATAGTTAAATTTTTCCTAAGAGATAGCATCAGTGAGGGAATTTTTTTCTATTGTCTTATTTTTCACATTAATGCGATGTCGAGGTATGTGGCCCTATCGCAATTGAAAATAAGGTTTCGATAATCCTTCCATAAAGTTTCAATGAGTACATCTGAAATAACCTTGAGATATTCTTCAGGGAAATGCAAAAATCTCCTTTTGTGTTTTTTGTGCAGATTTATCTATTAAAATCCTATCCGCAATCTATTTTCCGTGCACACACCTTCAACCGAATGTATGCCATATATGATATTAACGTTTCCAACTTTCACCAAGGTTAATAGGAACCATAACAGCTCCCTACCCTTCCCCCCTATAAGAATATCGATTTGTAGCCTCACATTTCAAGGTTAGACTTCTTGTAATGTTTCTGTTCAACATTCGGCGATTTCTGACAATTTTCCCAATAAAACATGATCATTGTGACATTAAGCCTGGCAACGCTGCATAGTAGAGGGAACTCTCAGCGTCACGTTGATGGTTCGTCACCACGCACAGGATTGTAATCAGTTACGGATACCCGTTTATGAGCGCGAACGTTTTATGCACGTCTTGACTTGATTTTTCTTGCGGAAATTTAATATTAGTCTAAAATATGTGACACAGATACAGCTGATGAAGTGGTTGAAATCAGCTTAACGTCACTCCGAAAAAGGGCTAAAAAGCTTCATCTTAGCGCAGGTGAAAAACAAATTATTCTAAATATCTACAAGAACCAGATGCAAGAGAATAGTGGATTGGCTATAGAAAATATCGTATGTAAGGTTGCTGAAATTTCTGGAGTAGGTCGATCAAGTGTTTACAAAATCTTGAAGGAATATAAACAAAATCACTCACTATCTGAGCCAAAAACATATCCAGCGAGAAAAAAAATCGAAAAAATAGATGACTTTGACAAAAGTGCCATTAGAAGAAAAGTACATCACTTTTTCTTCAGGAATGAAATACCTACAATAGATAAAATATTGAAGCAAGTGAATGATGATGAGGACCTGCCAAATTTTAAAAGATCTACGTTCCATAAGCTGTTGAAAGAACTAGACTTTCGATTTTTGAAAAGAGGAAGGAATAGTTTATTGATAGAAAAGGAGGAAATTGTTATCTGGAGGAGAGAATACCTTAGAAAAATTAGGCAATTCCGCGCTGAAGGAAGAAAAATTTATTATTTAGACGAAACATGGGTGAACGCGGGGCATACGCAGGGAAAGGTTTGGGTAGACAGATCTGTGAGGTCCTCAAGGAAGGCTTTTTTAGATGGCCTTTCGACGGGATTGAAAAATCCTGCAGGTAAGATTCGAAGTATATGAACTTTTTTGGATGCAGATAATTCATTTTCTGATCGAATCAATGATTTGGAAGCTCCGAACTCAGTTTTGCTATCTCATCCAAGTTTCTGAGTATTTCCTTCACCCAAACACTAATCTAAGACCCTATCCTACACTAACCTAAAAAGAGTAAGTTGCTTAATTTCGTCATTTAGTGCGCTCGCTGAGATGTAAAATAACTAATTACTTTCAGGCAAGGGAAAACAACTGATCATTTGCCACATAGGTAGCGTAGATGGATTTGTTCCTGAAGCATTGTGGGCATGTGAATCCAAAAAAACTGGAGACTATCACGAAGAAATGGATGGTAACTCATTTGAAAATTGGTTCAAAAAAATTTTGCCGACACTTGATGATAACGCAATTATTGTGATGGATAATGCCCCGTACCATTCCAGAAAATTGGCCACCAAAAAGGCAGACATTCAACAGTGGCTTGTCTCAAAGAAGATCGACTTCGACCAAACAATGGTCAAAGCTGAGCTGATAAATATAGTCAAGCGACATAAGTTTAAATATGATTTAAAAATTGTTGACGAAATGGCCAAAAACCAAAATAAAACGATTCTCAGGCTGCCTCCCTATCACTGCGAACTGAATCCTATCGAGTTGATTTGGGCCGACATCAAGCAATACGTGGCGTCAAATAACAGCACTTTTAAGTTTTCTGACCTTAAAAAACTGTTTGATGTTGCTGTCGATAGAATTACGCTAGCAAAATGGAGAACATGTATTGACCATGTCCAAGAGAAGGTTGAAACCAAAATGTGGGATATGGACAATATCATTGACACCCAAGTTGAACCCCTTATAATTGACATCAACCATTCTGATGATTCAAGCTCCTCGGAATACAGCATATAAATCGATTGATACCATTAAGACTGGCAGTTTAACGGGCTTTTTGGCAAGACAGGTAAGTTCATTATAGACTGCAATCAAAGTGTAAGTTTCTAGTTATTAATGTGGAAATTCCAAATTTATAATTACACAAAATGAGGGTTAATTTAGGAGTTCCAAAGCATAATATTGCCATTTTGACCTTCTTCCTATTTCTCATGTAAATTTTAATAGCAATCAAACTAACAAACTTTATGGAGTCTGTAATAAACTTTTGTACTACTACTACTACTACGTCTGTAGTTTCTACTTGCTCAAAAAAATTTGCTCTGCATTGTGAATAGAAGGTTGATTTGTAAATATTATTGGGTATATATGTAAGTTAATAATAAAATATGAACAATTTCAATTGAGATGGTCCACAAGTTTTTTTCGTGTGCGTTTTAGTAACATTTTGCTGAAATGGTGAATACAGAATTTTTTGCACTGATTCCTAATGTCGAAATATGATTAGAAAGGCGTGGTATATTCCTGATAATTTACTACGCTTTTGATAGAATTTACAGCAACACATATCTTGTACGACATTTTTTGATAGATCAGTCACAATAGCTTGATACGGCCCTGTAGCGTCTCCTACGGTTAAGTTCTTGATCACGTGCAATACAGGTGTATATGTTTGATTTTACTTTGTTTCTTCGATCGATAAAGTTTAGTTTAGGCAATGCCGGTGCATTTTACAGAAAGATTGTTTTCTGCATGCGATTAGTTGAGAATCAATCTCGAAAACCGTACGCGTCTTCAGAAATTTAGACACTTGTTTATCATTTTAATTGTGCATTTTTATCACAATAGTAGACTGGTAAGTAACAACTTCTTTTTAGCATCTAACATTCTTAAAATATTTTCTCCCATTTGGTTTAAGTACTTTTTCATTTCATACCTACGATAGATTTAGAATGACTAAGTTTATGATCTTATAGGTTGTAACTATCGTAACTGTAATAACTCCTTAAAACTACGTCGCGGCATCTCTCCTATTTGAAAGGGGTAGATGCCGCAAGGAATCTTGGGAGAGATGACGGATTTATTAAGTGCAATATTTTTTCAGACATACCTCGTAAATATATATGAAAATTTCAAAGAGGAACATGGACCTAAGAACACCTTAGTACAGCTCTACACTCAATACGAGAAGATGGAACGTCCCCGAGAGAACAGTAAGATGAAGACTAGCACAAAATAAATTTGAGAAGGGACCACAAGGATCATCTTCATATCTTGGTCAAGATATAGAAAAATGAAGGTTTTTGAGGAAATTCGCTGAAGCAAAAAGAAGAACTTACTATTATTTTTCATAAGCCATCTCTCCCACCACGTGTGCGGCAACTCCCCTATAGTATGTAGGAGACTTGGCCAAATACATGTTCAAAAATAATACGTTTTCATTTGTTCATTTTTTGTTATAGTTGCTGTTGTGTTGGTATTTTTCATATATAAATATTTTTCTTTTTATCGGATAATATGTAACCATTATCCCAATTTTCCAGAACATGCGGCATCTCTCCCACATTCACCCTATCTTTATTTTAAGAACGCCTAACTTATTACAGAGTCATGAAATGATGCTTAATGACAGCCCACTAATTTGTAACCAGGTTTTCAGTGACCACAACAACAAACAATGAACCATGATAATGACAAGTGATAACACACTAAGCGCGAGAAGAAAAGTGTACTTTTGATGTTCCAGAAGAACTACTTTGTTCTATTTCCGAACGCATGGAACAGGTACAAAGTACACTGTAAGAATTCACGAATGCAGTACTGCATAGTAATTGCTCGAGTTGTTTCAACTGCCTGGTTAAGATCCACTCAGGCTTTAAGTGGATCTAGCGCAACAAAAACGTAGTAATTCAGGATTATCTTTGCTCAAAGTTGACCTTAGCGAGGCGGTGCAACTGAGCATAAATGTGACCATTTTGTTACGGCAACAACATTTTGGTTAAGAACTTGCCCGGGCTTGGTGAATACAATCGGAAGTACTGGAAAATGAAAAGCGGCACATATATTCACGTTTGATTTATTATAATTTGGTCTGATGATAGTGATACTCAATTATAATTAGAATTCCAGAAAGTGTTACAGTTATTACTTACGTCAGTTATGCCTCACTTTTTCCATTTTATATATGATATAATGAGCATTATTACCGGTCATTACCGAAAATCCCCTTATGGTAAACAACGGTTCCAGCCGGAGTTGATTGCTTCCAACCCGGCACCAGTACGAGGCAGATAAAAATTGTTTTTTAATGCGGGGTTCTTTCTTAAAATAATAATCACGGGCCGTTTTTTAATTTTCTGGCTAACAAAAAGCCGCCTGATTGAGCTGTCAGCCCGCAGGGAACAATGCCGCTTATAATCACCTAATTATATGTCTAGCCTCTTTAGTTGCCGGTGTTATGGCAACTCAATTGTTTTCCCTTCTCTCGCACTGACGGCTCAGATATTATTAAGATACCGTCAGTGGTAGAGGCAGGGGGCACCAAGAGATCCTCGGAAGAGATCTGTATGGACAGATGTGGAATGGTAGGCAAAGCCGTATTCTAAGCTCCAAATTAGGCCAATGTGGACCAACGCCAATATGCAGAGGCAAGGCCAGCTAGCAATTCTTTAACATGGTGAATGTTGGCAGTGGGTTGAGTTTCGTGACATTTAGCATCCTAATAGAGTAAATATAATACAAAACTGACAGGTTATCGGAGGCATATTTTTTCTAACAACAAACTTTGATGAATATCGAGAAGCCTTTAACGAAAAACAGCAATACAGTCAATTTTACGACAACTATAATGATTAATAATAACAAATTTCTTTTTAGTTTCCCTAACTTTCCAGTAATTTTTGTAAATCTTAAATTTACCGTACAAAACGTGTAATGCAGAAAAACAGTTCATTTGGTTTCTGCTCTTGGAGCAGTATCTAACAAGGTGTAGTAGCATAGGGCGTGAAATGTTGATTTTTTAAAGCTACATGCCTTCGTCAGATTGGCACATATTGGTAGTCCTGTTATACGCACGATGTGCTAAAGTGACAGTGGAACTCTCACCTGCTTCAGGAAACATCCACCATAAGCGACTGTGTTTTTTGTGACTTTTGACCAATGTAGTTACTAAAAATGAATGAATGAATGTGAAGAGTTAGTCGAAAGCCAAAATGAATGATGCGCCAATTAGCCCATTGAGTGAATTTTTCAGACCTAAAAAAATGTATAATGGGTCATTTTTGACGGTGAGGTTCACGTTTGGCTGACGTCGTAATGTATACGAAAGAGAAGCGCGAGAAGCGTGCAATATGTATGTTAGAAAGAGTGCGCTGATGGCGTCCGTGGCCTCGTCACTCGGGTTGTTATGCAATGAGATGCTTCTGCCTCTTTCTAACACACGTATTGCACACTTCTCTCTCGTACACATTACCACGTCAGTAGTATATGGTTTTCACTGTATATAAAAGTAGTACCCCAGACAGTTTTGTGAACGGATGTTTAGGCTAAAAAGGTGGTCTTTGCGATGTTTTCTTATCTGGGTTTGTTAACGACATTTAGGGCCAATTTCACCAACAACAGTCCGTTATTCTCCACCTATAGGGTAACAGTCCGTCAAATACAGCCAATGAGCTTCAAGTTCCAATCAACAAATTTTAGCAACCAATAGCTATGAAATGTTGAAAACAAAATATTGTCAAAGTATCAGATGTCATCTTGTCATTGACGCATCACCAACTTATTGAATATTAGGAAATTACATATAATTCAGTCAAAATTTAAACAAATGTTTGATTTTTGAATAAAATTCATGTTTTAATTACCATTGTTGATTTTTTATTTATGATAATATTATTTTCTTCAATTGATATGCGATTTTACTGATTCAAGATCATCTACTGGGTGTTTTTTCCGATAAACCTGTTGCAGATTGTAATTAAGCACCTACTTGATGACTGGCTCTACCAAAAAGTTCATAGATATTGCTCGTTTCCAAACATTAATTCATTTACTTGCCGTTCATCAGAACCATTATGGCACCTTGGATTGATATTCCCACAAAACCATTCTGAACAAACATCCACACTATATTCACAGCGATAAAAAAATCCCAAATATATGCCGTAGATCTACCAGCAAACCTAAAAGCTGCAGAAAAACTAGAAATTTGCAATACTTTTATTTTTTCACTGAGTAGATATTCTGGGTTATATTTATATTAGACGTTATTTGAATACAGTTGATTATAGCATTTCAAGGAGTGACACATGTGTGGGCTCTGTCAACTCTTGGTACCAGTCACAAAACATCCTCTAAAGGTTTAGTCCCATGCTATTCAATCACAACACGGTGACTTGTGTGGTTGTCAGCGGCCATTTTGTGAGGGTGCGATAGGGTTGCCAGATTGTGCATTAATATCCCGTTTCACCCTCCTGGTCCCAGTGGAGTAAGTTCCGCCAACTGTTGAAATATACTCTACTATGCTTTATAAGAATATTCGTGACATTTTTCCCAAAATCATTGCACAACACTCGAAAAAATGCAAATGAAAATTTAGAATTATTTCCATGACGCCACAAAATAGCTCCGTCGGTACCTTGGGTTGTACATCTTGACAGTAGGGATGTTCGATAGGTTCCTATATTTAGAAGTATCAATACATTTCATGAGTATCGTCATCTTTCGATCCGGACTGTGTCAGAAAGAGTGACTGCCATTTGGCTGCGACATTACCTTGCCAAATCAGACATATCTTTCATCATTTTCAAAGAAATTGTACAAAATCTTCAAATTTGTGAAGTTAGCGAGTTTCACTTCATACGTTCTTACCAGCCATGCCCAAATCATCAGTTGCTGCCGTGATATTCATCCCGACCACTGCATCCCCACGGCTAGGCGACCTGTATGTTAAATTTGTATTGATAGGGAAGCGGGTTATGCTATAAATCATATGTCACAGTGTTTGTGCACTGATTGCAACGGTTAGATGATACCAAAAATATTTTCATAAATAGGAGATCTTTCCCATTCCGGATCGAACAATCTACCAAAGATGCTCATAATCATGATACCTAGTAAATTTTCACGAACAAAATTCAAAACCAGCAAATGTAAAAGATTCATTTCGCACCCTCCACCACGGGACGTGATCGTCGTTAGACTTGGCAACCCTGCGAGTGTCAGATAGATATCCCCGCCAGTCAAAAAAAAATAGACAAACAGCAAATAATACTAGTTTTTTTGATTTTTGAACTTAACAGCTATTATCTGTAAAACATTTTTCATAATTTTTTGTCTATGTCCATAGTAATTGCATTATGCATCAGGGAGATGTAGGGATTGACACGTCTTACACATGTTATCTGTGTTTTAGGATGGAGAGGACATAATGTTTTTATTGCTTTGAAGAAATTCATTATCCCATAAATTAATACATGATTACTATTATGACATAAAGGCAGATGAGGAATTGGATGGAATATATTTTATATTCTATTTTCTTGCAAAATACAGACAAATCCACACTATTCAACAGGTATGTAATCATAACTTTCAGCATATTGAAGTTGGTAAATTCAAGAGTGCCATGCATTAACAAACGTCCAAATCTGCTGCCAAATTTAACAGCTCGAAAATCGATCTATTATTTGCCGCATTCCCATTCGCTGAGGGGGATAACGGATTGTATATACATATATCAAAATACATAAAAGTTGTCCTGTTTTTTTTGTACAAAAGCATCACGTTGAAATCAAAAAGTGGTCTTGTTTATAATACAGTCAAATTTTCACGATTTTATTCAATATTTCAATAGAAATCACTAATATTTAGAGACCTTTGACAGCTTTCGTCAAATTGCATTTCTATAAGTCCCATTGGTCCATAATATTAATGTTGGTGAAATTGGCCCTTAGTCAATTTTCTTGGAGATGTCATTAGGCAAACCCCGCATTAATGAAAATTTTACCCTATATAGAGAAAAGGCTCGGTACTAAAGTAAATGTATTAAAAGTGCTACAAGAAATTCGTCTAGGTGTATTTCAAAGATAGCAAATGATTTTTTTGGGGATATGCGTAGGGCGTAAAGGTTTTCAAAATCATCGTTGCGAAAAGCCTTCATAGATTTTCATTTTCTACTTGAATGATAATACTAAATAGCAGATATATCTACCTT